ATCTCCACAATGTCAAGCTACGACCCTCTATCAATCTTCACAATGTCAAGCTACGACCCTCTATCAATATTCACAATGTCAAGTTACGATACTGTATCAATCTTCACAATGTCGAGCTACGACCCTCTATCAATCTCCACAATGTCAAGCTACGACCCTCTATCAATCTTCACAATGTCAAGCTACGACACTGTATCAATCTTCACAATGCCAAGCTCCGACCATGTATCAATCTTCACAATGACAAGCTCCGACCCTCTATCAATCTTCACAATGACAAGCTCCGACCCTCTATCAATCTTCACAATGTCAAGCTACGACCCTCTATCAATCTCCACAATGACAAGCTCCGACCCTGTATCAATCTTCACAATACCGCTGCATTACGAACTTTGTCTGATACTGTGATAACAATAGTCACTATTCTTGTATCACGAAATACCGCTTTTTGATTGGATTGTATGATAGTGAACACAGCCAATCAGATCCCTCGACATTAGGGCTCGGCTTGTGATTACTGTATTAGTTCTCGTCAGCGTTGTGAATTTGTGTTTGATTTACAGATTTTGATCCAAATATACACGAAAAGTGTCTAATGATGTCAAGGTATAAGACGAGTTCATATACGAAATCTACAGAATATATATTTATATTGTTTATATTTTATTATATTGTTATTATCATTATGAATGTCCAGTTAATGTCTGGGCTCAATTGTAAAAAAAAACTTGTATGCCTTATTGTTAGTCAAATGAAGTATTTGTGTAACATCTAAAGCATGTTCTGTATGTTGATATCTTTTCTCTTTCAGGATCAAATCAGGACAGTTATTTCCTCGGTGCTAAGGATGTTAATAATGATGACGTATTTAAATGGCTGGATGGTTCCAGAGTAACGTGGATTGGGGCTGCACCTAACCCAGGAAATCAGAATTGTGTTAGACTAAACAAACAGAATTATGAGATGGACGAAACCTATTGTTCAAGCGCAAAATATTTCTTTTGTCAAATAACTGTACCAACCTGGACAGATCCTGGAGCATTAATACTCTAGATGATATTATTAAAAGGAAAACTATCTGCAATCAGTCAAGAAACACACATAGAACAAGTCTGACTTGTGTGTCTAATTCAGAGAAATATTTACTTTTCCCCAGCATATATTCGAAGATGTGCTGTGAAATATTATTGTTTTGAGCAGAAATTGACCTAGCATAATCATCACAAGTACATCTATAAAGTATTGATTTTTTGAATAAATTATTTATTATAGACATCACAAGTGTGAGGTTTCTCTCCAAATAATAAACAATTTTACCACTTTTCCACAAATTTTAAAAGAAAACAGGCAGATATTTTTTAGATTTCAATAGAACTTATACAGTTCTTTCTTTGTAAATGATTTATAACAGTTGCATCAAAGTACGTCTAAAATCCTGTCCTCTTGAGATTTTACCAGCTGAACATTAATTGTGTTTCGATGAACAATTGTTAATAACTCTTGTTAAATAAATGTCATCCTTGGTTGACGATAAACAATGTCAGTTTCTGCCGAATACGTCACGAAATGTATCTTTTAAATGTTTAGGCTTTCAAATTGAAAAATAGCTTGCCAGGCAAGGTAATATACGTCCACTTGCAGCTTTGATTTTAAATAAAAATAGTTGGCAGTGCAGTAACAATCACCAGTATGAAATATTCAACCTTCAGTCTTACACTTCCTTTTTTGAGGCGATACTGAATAATATTACCAAGTTTCATCAAATTCTGTCAAGAATTGGGCCTTCTAGAGCGTTTACTGGCTAAAAATTGAACGCGTTTTTAAGAACAAGGGTAATAACTCATACTAAACATTTTCCGATTATTTTCATTTTCAATAGGGTTCATCCTTGGGTGATTACATACACTGACACCACGTGTCGTCAAAATCCATCAAGAATTGTCCTATCTAGAGTGTTTACAAAACGCGTTTTCAAGAACAAGGCCAATAACTCATACCGGTACTTATTATTTTTCGATCTTGCTTATTTTAAATAGGGTTCATCTTTAGGTGATAACAAACGCTCACACCACGTTTCATTAAAAATCCGCCAAGAATTGCGCCTTCTGAAGTGTTTACGGGCGTTTCAAGAACAAGGGCAATAACTCAAATATTTTTTGATTTTTCTGATTTTCAATAGGATTCATTCTTGGGTGATTACAAACAGCTATACCAAGGTTGGTCAAAATCAGTCAAGAATTGTGCCTTGCAGAGTGTTTACGAGCAATTGTGGGCGGACGGACGGACGGATGAACATGGGTGACGGCAATATGCGTAACCCATTTCATGTGGGCGTATAAAAATTATTTGGAAGAACAAAGGCAATAATAGTTGATTGGTTGGTAGGTATTGTCTGAGGAAGTTAAAAAGTTTTTGTTAATTTTTCGAAATTTTCTAAGATCCAATTCACAAAAAATACGAAAAATTCAAAAAACTTTTTACTTTATTCAGACAATAGATGACAAGTTAAATCCGTTTACCGGTCCGCTAGTTTGTTACTGAAGGATGAAATAAAATGAATATAGTTTTAATCCACAGTTTCATTTCAATTAT